GGTGTGGCCGAACCCGTCTCCCGCGGGCACGGATAGAGGCGGCAGCCCGCCCACGGTCAGCAGGACGACCATCCCGACGTCAGCCCAGCGCGCGACTCCGCGGGCCCCTCTGCGGGGAAGGGATGAGGACAGCTCTGTCATGGGCTGGGCTGGACAGAGACAGGGCCAAGAAACCACCACCGTCAACCCTGCAGCCTTGGGCCCTGTAAGCAGAAATCATTTTGCAAAGCCCACGATAATTGGAGGAAAATTGGCTGCTTTCACTGTGCTAGCTGATTCGGATGCTTTTATTCCTTGCGAAGCTACTGGTAACCCCCGTCCAACCATACAGTGGACCAAGATCTCGCCAGGTAAGCTCGCTAAGCCTCTCTGGAATTTACCTTCTGTTATAGCCGTGTAATCTGGCAGGTGGTTTGTGCGCCAGACTCAAGTATGGCTTCATTTAAGAGTGCCATGAAATATCGCTGAAAGATGAAGTTGGAAACAGTGAAAAAGAAAGGCATCCCAGCACTCTTGCTGGAGTGTCTGACTGCTAATTATGAAACAGTTCTTTAGGGAAATAAAGAAAAAGAAATATATGCTCTATATTTAACTACAATTCAGTTCTTACTGTGAGAAGATTTCAGTATTTATCATATATTACCTGCTATTTCAGAACAGTGAGGCAAGTGAAAAGAAAAATCTGTATGCGGTAACAAACCATCAAACGGAGTTAAAGCTACGCCAAAACATTTCTGAATACGCAAAGCCTAGTCACAACTACACCAAAGTATTTTTGGATACACACAGCCCCATCTGCTTTATCCAAACTTTGTCTCTGCTGAGGACTAAGTTTTGGGTTTACTTTAAAGCTTCACTGCGCACGCGCAGTACTGCTGTTTCTCTCTTTCTTCTCACTATTGTTTCGGCTACTTGGGCAAAGCCGACCAGGACAGGTAAAGTGTCCTCAGGCCTGAGCGAACAGGAACAGGAGAGCGAGGTTCTGACACGCTGCGCTGTTGTCCCCTTGCTCCCACAGGGCCCGATGCTCGGGAGGGCCGAGGTGACGGCAGATGGACGGTGCTGGCCAACGGCACGCTCTCCATCGCCCGGGCGGGCCTGGCGGACCGCGGGCAGTACCTGTGCATGGCGGCCAACGCGCACGGCGTGGCGCGGCTGTTGGCTACACTGTCGGTTGTGGCCTACCCGCCGCGCATCGCCGGCGGCAGGAGGCAGCTCCTCACCGCGATCTCCGGGAAGCCCGTGGCACTGGCGTGCAGAGGTGAGGGCGCCTCCCCGCCGCGCATCGCCGGCGGCAGGAGGCAGCTCCTCACCGCGATCTCCGGGAAGCCCGTGGCACTGGCGTGCAGAGCTGAGGGCCGGCCTCCCCCCGCCATCTCCTGGGTTCTGGCCAACGCAACGCAAGTCTCCGGCTCTTCTGCAGGAACCGGCAAAGTCCACGTGGAACCAGACGGCACCTTAGTTATCAAGGAAGTCACTGTTTACGACAGGGGCCTCTACACATGCACAGCCAAAAACCCAGCGGGCACTGACACGCTGGCTGTAAAACTGCAGGTCATTGCGGCACCTCCTGCTATTCTGGAAGAGAAGAGACAACGTGTTGAGGGAACGGTGGGGGGGGATCTGCACCTCCCTTGCACCGTGGAAGGGAACCCTCAGCCCAGCGTCCACTGGGTCCTTTCCGACGGCACAGTGGTGAAACCTCTGCAGCTGGTAAACGCGAAACTGTTCCTCTTCTCTAACGGTACGCTCCACCTCAGCAGCATCGCCCCTGCCGACAGTGGGAATTACGAGTGCATAGCCACCAGCTCGACGGGCTCGGAACGGAGGGTGGTGAACCTCGTGGTGGAGCACAGAGATACGCTTCCAAGAATAGCTGCCGCCTCCCAGGAAGTGACTCGGCTGAATTTTGGGGATAGGTTGCTTCTGAACTGCACGGCGACTGGGGAGCCAAAGCCCAGGATCATCTGGAGGTTACCCTCCAAGGCAGTCGTCGACCAGTGGCACAGGTAGGAGTCTTTATTTTTCCCCACCTCTCTGAAACATCAAACATTGTCTTCTCTGGTGCTTGTATAAGAGACTGTTACACCACCGAAACAACTCATTGCGAACTAAATTCACTTTTAAATGTTTAACAGTGGTGAGACATCTGCGGTGATGCCTTGTTATTATACACCTAATAACAAACCAGAATGGATGCAAGTCTTACTTGAATTAAGGAAACTGATGTTAATCATACATTGGCTGAATTTTGGTCATTTTATAGGAGGAAAAGTTCTTTACAAGAGATTTGCGAAGCAGGACTTGGGAGGAGGAGGCTTCTGTAGTCTCTGCCAAGTCTCCCTTTGAGGGTCCCGCCCCGCCCCCAACCCTTCCCACAGTAACACTTCACCTTTGCTTCGGGAGGGACGGTCTGGGTCAGGGTCTCCTCGCAGCTACACAGTCAGCGAGCACACGCACACCCACGTAGCAACAAAAGCAGCAGCTCCATCCGGTTATGGCCCACCAGGTCTGCGGGTGATGTGGACACAGTGCCTCTGGAGAGAGCTCCTGGGTCTATCGTATCATGCTGTTCCTACTGTCAGCAGCTTTCTGTGCTCGGGATCCATCTCCGGTGTTCTGCTCCGTAATTCTTTTCCTCTTTCTCCCCCGGCAACAGAATGGGAAGTCGAATCCACGTCTACCCCAACGGATCCTTGGTCATTGAGGCGGTTACTGAGAAAGATGCAGGGGACTATCTGTGTGTCGCAAGAAACAAAATGGGAGATGATCTGATACTGATGAAGGTCAGCATCACAATGAAACCAGCCAAGATTGACCAGAAACAGTACTTCAAGAAACTGGTGCCATATGGAAAAGATTTCAAAGTGGACTGCAAGGCCTCTGGGTCACCCACACCCGAAATATTCTGGAGTTTGCCAGATGGGACAGTGGTCAATAACGCGATGCTGGCAGACGACAGTGGACACAGGTCTCGCAGGTATGTCCTCTTCGACAATGGAACTCTCTATCTCAACAAAGCCGGAGTGACAGAAGGAGGAGATTATACCTGCTACGCTCAAAACACACTGGGCAGAGACGAAATGAAGATACACATCATGGTTGTCATGGCAGCCCCTCAGATCAAGCACAATTACAAGACGTACATCAAAGTGAAAGCTGGTGATACGGCGCTACTGGACTGTGAAGCTGTTGGAGAACCCAAGCCCCAGACGTTCTGGCTGCTGCCTTCCAGTGACATGATCTCCACGTCCACGGCCAGACACTTCCTGCACGTCAACGGCTCTCTGTCGGTCAGCCGCGTCAAGCTGGTGGATGCTGGGGACTATATGTGCGTAGCTCGTAATCCTGGAGGGGATGATACGAAATTGTATAAACTGGATGTTGTTGCCAAACCACCTGTCATAAATGGTTTGTACGCAAACAAAACAATCATGAAAGTGACGGCCGTGAGGCATTCAAAGAAGCAAATTGCCTGTAGGGCAGAAGGGACACCCCCGCCTCAGATCATGTGGATCATGCCTGATAATATCTTCCTAACAGCTCCGTATTATGGGAGCAGGATTGCGGTACACAAAAATGGGACACTCGAGATTCGGAACATAAGGCCTTCTGACACAGGAGATTTTATCTGCATGGCACGTAACGATGGGGGAGAGAGTATGCTGGTGGTGCAGCTGGAGGTACTAGAAATGCTGAGGCGACCCATGTTTAAAAATCCACTCAATGAGAAAATAATAGCAAAACCTGGGCAGACTACCACGCTGAACTGTTCTGTGGACGGAAACCCTCCGCCTGACGTAAGCTGGATGCTGCCTAACGGCACCTGGTTCTCCAGCGGGATCGAGACCTCCCAGTTTCTCACAGGTAGCAGCGGTACCCTTACCATCTACAGCCCCGACAGGGACAAAGCAGGGAAGTACCGCTGTGCCGCCAGGAACAAGGTCGGCTACATTGAAAAGCTGATCGTCCTGGAGGTGGCCCAGAAGCCCAGCATCCTCACGCGCCCGCAGGGGCCGGTGACGGGCATCAGCGGGGAGTCCCTGTCGCTTCACTGCCTGTCCGACGGCAGCCCCCGACCAAGCACAGCGTGGACCCTGCCAGCCGGCTCCGTGCTGGACCGGCCGCAGATCAGCAGGAGGTACACGCTGCTGGAGAACGGTACTCTGGTGATACGAGAAGCCACCGTTCACGACAGAGGAAATTACGTGTGTAGGGCCCACAATAACGCCGGAGATTCCTCTATAACTGTCCCAGTCGTTATCGTAGCCTACCCCCCACGGATTACGAACAGACCTCCGCGGACCATACACACGATGCCTGGTGCCCCTGTCCAGCTCCACTGCGTAGCGCTGGGGATACCGAAGCCAGACATTACCTGGGAACGACCCGACGGCTCGGTGCTCTCTGCAGGCAGCCAGGGCCGTGCGGCTGGGAGCCAATGGCTCCGTCCCCACGGGACGCTGCTCATCCAGAACCCCCGACCCACAGATTCTGGCATGTACAAGTGCACAGCGAAGAACCATCTTGGCAGTGATTCCACAGTAACATACGTTCACATCATGTGAAGTAAGAAATACGATGTGAATGACTGTTAACAAAATCTACCACTGGACTGAGTTCACTCCTGGAGTCAGCTTAATCCAAGGCAGCCACAGGCATGTAAGCGCCTAAATACACGCACAGCATTCGATCTGCAATGATCATGCAAAAAAAAGAGAAAACACTTGGGGAAAATGAGATCTCGCATTATTACCTAGCACTGGTTGGTTCGGTGATTAAACAGACTTAAATAAAAACAAACTTCAGGCACTTTTGCTCTGCCGGCAAACACTGAGCATCAAATACAATTACTTTCTGGAAGCATACCTAGAGATCCTCAGTAAAGGACAGACTTTTTCATATTACTTTAATACTGTCCACCTTGTATGACTATCATGAGCATAGATCACATAAAGCAAGAGTACTTGAGAACCAAAGACCAGATCTTATTGTGATGCAGATTACCTTCTTAATATGTTTGAATATTTAGTATGATTTTTAATAAATATTCAGTGACGAAACAAGAAGTGAAGCATTTCTAATAACACAGCTCTGTTTCACACAGTCTTTTTTGCAGACCTTTGGGATGATACACACAGAACAACTTTGTTCTCATTTTTAAACAAAGGGAGTAAGCTCTGCTTAGCGGTGTTTGGAAAAATTGTACAGACCACATGTAAACACTCTAGCTTCTCACTGGAAATCAATTGCATCTATTTGCACGTAAATTTAGAGTTCTGATTTCTCAATTCAGTAGATAGGTCTAAGATGCAACCTGCTGTACATGAGGGAAAAATGCCCTCACAATGGTAGGAAATTTTACCTACACATTTTACACTAATGAGTCACGGATTGAACAGGTCAGGTAGATCTTTAAAAGATGAAGCCAGTGACGAAAGCTCAGAGCTTCTTATTTGCTTCCCGAGAGAGACGTTAATGTCAGGACAGAGGGGTGAAAGTATACGCAGTGCAGCCTTTCCCCTTAACGTTGCAAATTCAGGATGTACGCATCTCCTGGAAGAACCGGCGCCGTCCCTCCTGTCCCGGCCAGTGCCACCGGCGCCCGGCACTGCCTGGTCCTGCTGGGATGGACTGGGGATGGCACGGCTGAGGCCCGGGCTGTTGGAAGAGAGCGGTCGCTTCATCCGTTACAGAAGGTCTGATGGGTGTGTGAAGGGTTCAGCGTAACCATCCCCTGCCTCCTGAGCAATTCCTGCTCCTCACAGCATGGCGAGTAATAAAACATCCAAGAACAGCAGCACGTCTCCGTGGGGGCTGTGTGACACCGCTGGCAAGGAGGGGCCACAGAGAAACCCCTCGGTGCCAGCGTGATGGCAGCGTCGGAACCCCCTGCCCCAGCCTCTCGCAGCAGCAGGTCAGCACCCAGGGCACTCAGCCGTCAGAAAGCAGTCGCGTGCCAAGAGCTGAATGCAGATTCTACCTCACTGAACCACACCACAGTCAGTCTGGGGAATTTTTAAACGTGTTTATTTAAGACTATAACCTCAGCTTGGATTGCGTGTGCTGGTTTGATCCCTTCCTGACGTCAGCCGCGTACGGTTTGCTGTGTGCGTGTTCCCTCCTTGCACAGCGCTATGGAGCCGGAGCCACAGAAGGGCTGGATGACATCAATCTCACTGCTTAATGTCTGCAATAGCTTTAGCTACTGTGAAGAACAGTAAATCTCCTTAAAAAACCCTCAACAGAAATAATTTTTACGTAAGTAAGACTTGCCTGACTATTGTAAAAGCCAATCAAAGTTTAGTTTTCTGCAGAATCCTGTGCAGCGAGTATCATTTCATCAGCTGGCTGCATCGCCTCCCGTGGTCCTCTGAAGCCTGGGCAGTGCAGTCATCCCCCCTCCCCGCAGGACACCTGACTACGGTACCATCTGGAAACTCTTTGTATGGTAAATTAAGCCAATGGAGTTAATACAAAACAGGGAAAAAATATTCTTATGTATATTTTAAATGCCTTGCGCGGTCCACTTCCAAAATGAATGCATTTAAAAAAAAATAATAATCACATAGACTAACTCCTAAGTTACATAAAATAGTCATAAATTTATTCTTTTTTTTCAACTCTAGTACGAAAAAAATGATGACATATTTGAACAGGTTTGAATAATAGTGATTTGTATGTAGAAATTTTGATTTATAGTTTACTTGTGGTTTTGCACTCGGCTGATACCACCCAACGCACTGCGCCGCTGAACCTCGCCCAGCAACCCAGACGCAAGCCCGGCGCGTGCCGTACTCACCGTGCGGCCTTGGCAGCAGACTCAGGCAACAGGCACAACTCATTTGGGGTGGCTTCAGTGCCACCAGCGGTCGGCTCCGGCAGCGCTGGGACCCCAGGAGGGCTCCGGTGGCTCTCCCACCCTCGCCGTGCGGCAGCCGGCCCAGGGCTGCTCCTGAAACGAGACGGGGATTCGCCACCCGGGAGGCTCTGCCAGAGCGTGGAGACAGCCCTGCGTGCGCAGGGCAGGACCTGGGCAGACTGGTCAGCCCGTGGTGCGACACCGTGCGCTCCTCTGGAACGCATCGCTGGGGAACTTCGTATTAAAAAGACCAAATTTGAAATGCTGCTACTTCTAGTAGGTTTATTAACGTTACATTGTGGCTTTTAATATAAACTTTAAGAAGTTCTAATACAAGCAATAAACCCACTTCAGCACCTTCTTACCACAATGGAGCAAGAGAAAATCGGTACTTTAAACAAGGAACTTTATAAAGTGCATATGAAAATTACAGTCAAATAAACACGATTTAAACTGATGCTTGTTCTACCAACAAAGAAAGAGGTGAACATTTTAATGAACAAACTAACTTTTATGCCAAAATCGGAAGTGCCTTTCAGTTCAGTAGTTTGGTCCAGTGCGGTTCTCAAAAAAAAAAAAAAAAAAAAACCCCAAAAAACAAAAAAAACCCCAAAAAAAAAAAAAGAGTTTTAAACAAGGAACTTTATAAAGTGCATATGAAAATTACAGTCAAATAAACACGATTTAAACTGATGCTTGTTCTACCAACAAAGAAAGAGGTGAACATTTTAATGAACAAACTAACTTTTATGCCAAAATCGGAAGTGCCTTTCAGTTCAGTAGTTTGGTCCAGTGCGGTTCTCAAAAAAAAAAAAAAAAAAAAACCCAAAAAACCAAAAATAACCCAAAAAAACAAAGAAGTGTTTCCCACAAATAAATAAATCCAGCATTCTTTGTCCTCTTGAAAAGTTACAAGACCTAAAAAGCACCAAATTCATAAAATCTGCAATACCGTTCTTCAAACAGGCCCACAAGTCCATACATTTAAATCTAAACGCAAAGAAATCCCCAAACCCCCAAAACCCACCTTGTTACATACTCACATCAACTGCAGCACAGAAAATAATGACCGAAATGATAAGAAAACTGAAGTTTGCTTTCTAGCAATAACTAGTGCATTGAATTTTGAATGTTCTGTTCTTCAGTGCAAACGTAGCGTGACGTCTCCCTCCCGTCTCCGGCTCAGAAGTGTGAGGGGTGCCCGTACTGGCTGACGCCTTGCTGTGGCTGGTTACCTGGTTGGTAAAGCAAAGGGCCCTATTTGTGCCTCACGACTACTCTACAGAAATGCAGAAAAATGCCCATATTTCCTGCAGCAGCAAAGAGCAGTCAGCGCGCTCCCTCAGACACCTATCCGATGCAGGCACGAGGTGCTGACTTCCTCGGGACTGTGCCTGCAGGAGGACTACAGAAGTGAGGGGAGAAAACCGTGACTGGGCCACCAGCCCAGGGGCTCGGGCTCTGCTGGAGACCAACAAAACCCGTGGGACCCACTGCACCAGGATGCTGGTGTCATCGCTGCTGGGAGGGGAACCAGCTGTCCTTAGGTGAACTACTTCCACGTATGTATGGCAGCGTTTACACAAGGAGCACACCTCCCCGACCGGTAATTCCACCTTCAGGCAGACATCTGTATTTATGCATGTCTGCGCACACAGGCACTTACTGGAGAGCTGCTTCTGGAGCTGCCTGACCAGCGCCGCTGTCTGCTGCTGCTGCTGTGTCTGTTGTAAGCCTTGCCTTGGAAACTGCAAGAGAAACGTGGCAGGTGAGCGTCGCGCAGGTACCTGCAGACGCATGCAGCCGTGTGCCCCACCAGCGGCCGACAGAGCCGGCACGGGGGCTGCACAGCACGTCCTGACCACGCTGTAACAGCACGGTCAGGATGCACGGAGCAGCTCAGCGCTTGCAGAACATCTGCTCCTCATTCCCTGAAGTCTGACATGCTTCCAGCTGGGTTACCAGTGTCCCCTGTGTCCAGCCGGCACGGGACAGAGCTGGTCTCAGTCTCTTCCACCCTGGAGAGGCCAGCATTCATCCCGCAAGTCACTCAGCAGCTTTACAAGGCACATCAAAACAAGCAGCCCTTTTCACATTTTAAAATACTTCTGCGTGGTCGAAGCATAACAGCCAAGCTTCTTGAAAAATATTTTTGCCAGGGCAGAGATGCTTCAGGTAAAAAGAAGGCTGAGCACAACACATGCGCGGTGCGCTGCGCTGCACGCCTGCAGCTGCATGCTCCGTTCTGGGCTCCAGTGGAAGGGGCGGCAGATCCGTGCCCAGCCAACTGGGCCAGCTCCTCCCCTGAGCAAAGCGATCATCGTGCTCATCCCAACCCTCAGCCCACAGCGACCAAGGCCCTTCCAGCCCGTGGCATTAAGCACAATGGGATGAGACACAAAAAGCTTCCAAAGTAATCAATCTGCTGCTAATGAACTGAATCATGGCTTCAGTCATGGTGAAAGTACCCTGGGTGTAAACACACTGACTTTGACAATGTGCACCCTATTTACAGCTGCATCAAAGCAGAATTTGGTCTCTAACTGGGCTATCTGACAGCACGCGTTATTCCCTACCTATCTGACTGGTGCAGTCTATTTTCCAAGCAAGGATGGGCAGGGGAACAAGCACAGCTCTGCCTTCCACGCTCCCGGCTGTCACTCAGAAGAGACAACTCTCACTGATCATCCACCTGTACGTCAGAGC